TGATCATGGTGAAGGATGTTTTTGATACGTTCTTCGATTCTGTTTCCAAGTATTTTGTTGATAATTTTAGATCTATGTTTATCAAGGAGATTGATCTGTAATTTTCTATTTTGTCATTCTGTGGTTTTGGTATCAGGGTGATACTGACTTCATAATGAACTTATAAATGTCCTTTCATTTTATAGTTTATGGAATAACTTGGGAAGCATTGACATTAGTTCTTCTTTAAGACCTGGTAGAATTCTGCAGTGACACCATCTAGACTTGGGCTTTTTTTAGTTGAGCAAGTTTTAATTATTGCTTCAAATCTCGATGTTTGTTATAGATCTGTTTAAATTATTTAACTCACGTTGGTTTAACTTCAGTAGGTTTTATGCTTCTATAAATTCATCCATTTGTTTTATTTTCTAATTTAGTGGAACATAAGTTGTTGAGGTTTTTTTTTTTTTTTTTTTTTTTTTTGAGACAGGTTCTCCCAGTAGTCCCAGCTGGCCTGGAACTCACTATGTAGACCAGGCTGGCCTCGTACTCACAGAGATCTGCCTGCCTCTGCCTCCTGAGTGCTGGGATTAAAGTCATGTGCCACCATGCCTGGGAGAACATAAGTTTTTAAAGTATATCTTTATGATTTCATGAATTTCATTGGTACATTGATATCTGTTGTAATGTCTCCATTTTTATCACTAATTTCAATAATTTGGGTCTTCTCTCTTTTTCTCTTGGTTTGGCTAAGGGTTTGTCAATCCTGTTTATCCTTTCAAAGAACTAACTCTTGGGCCAGTGAAATGGCTCAGTAGGTAGAGGTTCTTGTATGGAGGCCTGTTCAGTTGAATTCAATCCCCAGATCTCACAGAATGGCAGGAGCAAACTGAATTCCAAGAGATGTCCTCTGACCTCTACAGATGTGTGTGGCACACACACACAAACACATCCACACTATCTATCTAACTAATTAACAAACTAACTAAATAAATGCAGAACAACTCTTTGTTTCCTAGATTCTTTATAATGTTTATTTTCATTTTTATTTAATTATTTTCTGCCATGATTTTTATTTCTTTAAGTCTTCTAATTTTGAGGTTGATTTGTTCTTATTTTTCCAAAGCCTTAAGGCACCCCATTAAGTTATGTAGGAAGTTACAGTTTTGAAATTTTTTTTTCATTATAACCTGTAGGCTTTTGTATGTTGTATCTTAATTTTATTTAAATTCTAGAAATATTTTTATTTCATTCTGACTTTTTCAGTAGCCCATCCATCATCCAATAGTGTGCTATTTAATCTCCATGAATTTTTGAATTCTCTGTGATTTCTTTTGCTCTTGATGCCCAGTTTTATTCTACTATAGTCAGATAGAATACAGAGTTATTTAAAATTTCCTATACTGCTAATATATGATCTATTTTAGAGACTGCTTCATGGGAGGCTGAGAAGAATGTGTTAATAGAATATTCTGTAGATATTTGTTAAGTTCATTTGATCTATTATGTAATTTAAGTCCAATGTTTCTGTTTATGTAGTTTTTTGGTAGCTTGTCTATTAGTGAGGAGTGGGTATTCAAGTTATCCACCACTTCTCTATTGGGGTTAATCTGTGACTTTATATATAGCAGTATTTGTTTTTATGAAATTGGGTGGACCTGTGTTCAGTGCATATATGTTTAGAGTTGTAATGCCCTTTTGATGAATTGTTTCCTTAATATGAAGTGACTTTATTTCTTCTGAGTAATTTCTTCTGAGTAATTTAGTGGTGCCTGCTTGTTTCCTAATTCCATTTGTTTGGAATACCTTTTTCTATTCTTTTCTCCTAAAATACTGTCTATCTTTGATGATTTTTCTTAGAAGCAGCAAATAGATGGAAGTCATTTTAAATCAAATATGCTGGACTGTATCTTTTGATTAGGGAACTGAAGCTATTAATTTTCAGACATATGATTGAGAGGTGTATATTAATTCCTGTCATTATTTTCTACTTTATAGTATTTGATGTTTCCTTAATACTCATTCAGTTAACTATAGTTCTATCGTCTTTTACTTTTGCCTTTTACTTGTAGCCTCTTAAATGTATTTATCATTCTCTTTAGTTTGAAGAATTCCTTGCAGTATCCTATGTAAAGCTGGGTTCATGATCATAAAATTCTTTAGTATATTTTTATCATGTATTTTTTTTCTGCATCAATTATGACAGTTTTGCTAGGGATAATAGTCTAGGTTGGAAGCTCTGATCTTTCAGAACTTGAAATACATCACTCCATGCTCTTCTGCCTTTAAGTTTCTTGTGAGAAATCAGCTGTTTTTCTCATAGGCCTGCCTTTATGTGATGGTACATAGGCTCCAAGTGCTTGAACATTTTGTCCCCAGTTGGTGATCCTGTTTTGGGAGGTTTTAGGAGGTTCAGTATGCCACTGGGAGCAGGCTTTGAGAGTTCTTAAGCTTTGTCAAATTTCAAGTCACACTCTGCTTCCTTTGCCTACTTGAAGATGTGATTGCTCTGCTTTCTACTCAGGCCACCTCCTCCTGCCATGCCTTCCCTGCCATTATGAACCATTACCCCTGGAACCATAGCTCAAATAAACTCTTCCTTCTCTAAGTTGCCCTGGTCATGGTGTTTTATCATAGCAACAGAAAAGTAATATACTCTATATGTGACTTAGCGTTTCTCTCTTATAGTTTACATTTTCTTTGTCCTGTGTATTTAATATTTTTAACCATAATCTGATGTGGTGAGTTTCTTTTTTCGTCCTATTTGGTATTCTGTATGCCTCTTGTACTTGGCTGGACCTCTCCCTTATTTTGTGAAATTTTATGCTGAAGATATTTTCTGTGCCTTTGACATGGACTTATTCTCTTTCTTCTGTGCCTATAATTATAGATTTGATCTTTTCTTGGTATCTCAAGGATCTTGTATATTCTGTTCATACATTTAAAAATTTTATAGCTGGTTTGAGTGCATGTACCTGAGATCTGTACAGATGGACCTGTCCTCATACTTTCAAAACAAACTCTACTCACACTCTGTCTGTGGATGCTAAGCAGTATGCTAGAGTCTCAGAGTTCCTGGACTCTTCAGCAGTGAATCTCACACAGATAAGTGGCTCTACTTGCCTACTGCAGGATGAGGATATTAAACTCCAGAGTTTTTCTCAGCTGATGAGGTCTGTTCCCAGGCACTGAGGGTGGGCATACTTCTCCCTGTACACTTCACTGCCTGGGCTGAGCCTTCTTCTGCTTTGACACTTCCACAGTTGCCTCCCAGGACCGTCTCATTCTGGGACTGATTGAATTCAGGCTTCCTGATTTGGATTGTTCCCTGTTCTTAGGTTCCCGAAGTAACTGTTTCAAGATGGCACCCTGCCACAGCCCTATGAGCTGTGACATCCCCTCTTCTCTATCAACCCATTCTACTGACAAAGTCGCTTGCTCAGCAATATCTAGAGCTGGATTTGAGTCTTGCAAGAGCTATAGGCTTACCCTGTGGGTAGCACTGCCAGTCTTTTCTTCAGAGTCCTCTGGTAAAGCTTTCCCTTCCTTTCTCCTCCTCTAGGTAGCCACATGATGAGCTGCATCCAGCGTCATTCTTTCCTTTTCAATGCCTTATCTAGTTTCTCTGCATTTTTAGCTTTCTTATCACTTCATTTGTGAAATTTCAAAAATTTCTAGTCCACCATCTTACCAGGAAGTCTTTTACTAAGGTCTTAAAGCTTGTCCTACTGCTCACTAAGAGAAGGATGTTGAAATTTACACATTAAATTTTTGCTATTTTTTCCCATTTTGTTTTTACTGATTGTGGTTTGAAATTCTCTAAAATTCTCTTTTAGTTTAAGATCTCCACTTGTTTTCAACTTTAAACTTATGTTTATTTATTGAAGAAACTGCATTATCCTGTCAAGTATTTAAGGTCCTTGGTTTTACCGATTGTATCCCCATTAAGTTATTTAATATTTACCAATACCTTTATGTTTCCTAATAGTAGTAGTTAGAGATTACAGCACTTTTAAAATGCAGGTCAAATTTTTGGAATGGTTTCTTTGGGTAATGTTAAAAGCATTTAGCTAATTGGTTATTTAGAGCTTATTATATATGATGTTCCATTCTTATAATCCCTTCTTCATTGATTAGGGAGAACACACATAAAGAGAAACTAGGACGAACACACATAAAGAGAAACTTTCTTTTGTTGACTGCTTGGTTACTCCGAAAAAGTATTTGTGTAGGAAAGACAGGATAAGTCTCTGAATTTCCTCCCTTTACTTATTAGTTTTGAAAATAGTAAATTGCATGTCTGGGGGTATAGTTGCTTTTAATTTTTAATTTTATGAAGTCCTTAAATTTAACATTTTATGATTATGTAGAATGCATACATGGGTCCAAAGTCAAATCTATAGATAGAAATAATGTTTAGAGAAGTCTGATTTATAGCTTTATCATTTTTTGTCTCATTTATTCTTCACATATGATAGGTAACTACTTTTTTTCTTTTAAAAAAATTATCCTTCCACCTGGAGAGGATAGCTTAGTGGCTGAAAAAAATTTATCCTTCCACACTGGTAGCAAATAATAGACTTTTCTCCCTCCATTCTTATCTTAAAAGCACATACATCAAGGTCTGATGAAATAGCACATTTATATGAACCAAATCTAATGGGAAGGAATGGGAAATCCCCTTTGATTCCATTCAGTCTGATCAACTACTTCACAGAATCAAACAGTTTCTCAGCTTAGTTACAATATAACTTTTTCCATAGATTTAGCTTAGCCAGTGTTGAGGCTGTGTATTGTATCTGAAAATTTATACAACAACCATGTCCATTTATCTCATCAAATACAATTTTCAACTCCATTTGTTTCAGTGACATTGATGAGATTTGGTCCTAGTTTTAAGAATGTAGGTATAGAGCTAGGTGCTCAATAAATTTCACAACTTCCTTTCCTGATGATTTTGGGGAAGCATTTTTATTATGCACATTTCACAGCTGAATATGCATTCTCTTCTTTTCCTACAGTTACAGGATTTGACCTGTGGGGCGCAGTAGTAGCAACAGGGGTGGTCTGCACATTCTATTGCACACTGGTATGTCAAGAACATTATTTCCCTGGAACTCTACTTGCTTTGCAAAACTGGAATTTCAAGTAATCCCATGCTGAAAACTGACTACCCTAATTTACTCTTCTATTCTTGACTTCTTACAGTATATTTTAAAGACCATATTTGGTCTAGGGTAAAATCTGATCCTGAGTAGAACATGGATCAGAACTTTTTTCTTTCACCTGAACCATTGCATGGGTCCCTAATTCTTATCTCTGGATTCATTATGACTGTTGTCAAATGTGTGTTTATACAATTCCTTAGCATAGATACTTGTGATAACTTTCCATTGGCTATAGACAAGGTGACAAAATATGTAGCAATCATATAGACATAGCACTGGGTCTTTTGCACAATGCAAATTCATATAATTTTTGATAGTTTACATATTAATCCTCTGATTGCTGGATCTTAGAGGAAGCAAGATCCTCAGCTAGAAACTGGTAAACCCATGTCATAGAGGCTGAAGGGACATTCTTGAGAAACTTGTGACAATGACTAGTGTAGAGCAGTTTGAGCATCTTAATGAGTGATATGGTTATCTGGGTGCAGACTAAATATCAGCTCTGTATATAGGTTAAAATTCACACACTGACTTTTGCAGCCTAACACTGAGTTGTCTTCCTAATACTCTTCCCGCACCATGCCACTCCAATCTGAAGTATATATCTGACTACATTCAACAGACTACATAGTTTTACCCTATTCTGCTTTTGTCTGGACTGCTTTCTCTACTGGGAAGAACTTCCATCTTTGCTTATGCTTAAAGGGTGGGTTAAATATCTCCTTCTTTGTAAAAATTCTCTGAACCTGGCCATCTCCTTTGAATGCACTTTTTTTAATCTGACATGTATTAGCATATAGATAATCATGTCTGACAGAAACATCAGTCCTAATACACTTTCTTATCAAAGGGTGGTCTTAAAGCAGTTGTCTGGACAGATGTTTTTCAAGTTGGAATCATGGTAGCTGGATTTGCATCTGTGATTATACAAGCTTCAATAACTCAAGGTGGCATCAGTACAATTATAAGTGATGCTTCTAATGGAGGAAGATTGAACTTCTGGAAGTAAGTATTATTTACCTCCTGGTTAATAAAAATACATTTTGCTTTTCTCTATAAAAATAATGTATTTATTAAAATAGTAAGTTTATATCAGAAAACAAATAAGCTACTAGGGATATGGTACATAAAGTTGAAACTTGCATGGTAAGTAATCATGCAAGGAGTTTTTAACCAGTTTTTTGAGAAGTTAACAGACTGATGGCTTTTAGTTATGTGATACTGGATGGTTCTTTTTCCTGAGAAGGGCCTTAGAGGAAATAAAGTATTTTCTTTCAGAGGTTAAAGTCTGGAACAGGTGTGAAGTAGAGTGTGACAAGACCGTGAAAGAAGAAAAGGAAGTCCTTCAGAGACACACACTGAGAGCCAGCAATTTCTCTTTCTTCTTTCTCTCTCTCTTTCTTTCTTTCTTTCTTTCTTTCTTTCTTTCTTTCTTTCTTTTTGGTTTTTTGAGACAGAGTCTCCCTGTAGCCCAAGCTGGTCTGGAACTCACTTTGTAGACCAGGCTGGTTTTGATCTCACAGAGATCCATCTGTCTCTGCCTCCTGAGTGCTGTGAGCCACCACACACAGCTACATTTTGAAGAGTCTTTATTTTAAGCACTATCACAGAAGGCATAAAGAGAAACCACTTAGGCCTTGAAGACTCTTGTATTTTCTGAAAATAGTCACAAAGTGTGAGAAAAGCTTTTTTCAGAAATCAAACAGCATCATCCTGTTACTTACAGAAATGAGTGTCAATGAATTGCCTTCAGCTATTTTCAATATTTGTTTCTCTGTTTACTTCCTGATTTATTTACTTTGAATAAAGAAAGAGTCCAGTTGGTTTATCTTTGGCCATGATTCTGTCCTTGGTTAGGGCAGAGCAAGATATTTTACCTGATGTTCCTTCAGACTAGGTAATGGAGAAAGAGTAGCTTCTCCAAAGTGAAGTTGTATTGATTTTATCAGGAGAGAGAAAATACCAGTGTAGGAATTAAGCTGTGCAGGAGTCTCTTCCTGGAAACCCAGACTGAGGGGATAGAGCACAAAGCCAATCATTTTGCTAAAGTATTACTATCATTGTACACCATGGATACACCTATTCTAGCATTGAAATGGTAGATTTATACGTCAATAAGAGGTGCTTAAAAATAAAGTAAGAGAGTATAATAACCATAACTTTGAAGATTGTTAGCCACTAAATGATAATCAAAATCCCTATTGTGTTTCAGACCAGCTTGAAGTGTTTTGAGAGTATGAAAGACAAAGTATCTTTTCTGGTTGAAATAAATGAAGAAAAGAACTAAAGTCTCCAAATTAGGTGTTTGAAACCTGTCTTGGTTGCTTCAGATAGCTCACTGAATCCTTGTGGCTCTTTACTTCTGCTGTCTAGTATGGTAGATAACTGTCCATGGGAGAAAGGGTGGGAACTCCCAAAACAGTTTTATTTTCACATTAAGTGCTAGATCATGGGATAGAGGCTCAATTTTATAATTTCCAGAAAATGTTCATGAAAGCTAATTTTGTGGGAACTTTTTGAGCTCATATTCTATATGCGAGATGAACAGAATCCTCCTTTCCAAGGTGATGTATTAAAAAGAGTTGTGGGATACTTCAAACATAGAAGTGGAACTTTTAATCATAGTATTTTGGGCTTGTGTGTATGTCATGAAGTGATTTTAAATTGTTACTATTTAACTTATGCACACAGAATTTTAAGAAAGTATAATTATAATGACATTATAATTTTAACCATTAAAACCTCGGCACTTCGTTGATTTCTTAAGCTTACATGTGCTAGAAAAGAAATTGTATACATAAAATGTATTCATTTGTCTTCACTTGAGTGTGATATCTATTCAGCTAGTATACTTTGGATCTCTCTACTCTTTATTAGTGGGTGGTCTTGATGGTGGTCTTAGTGGGTGGTCTTGATTATAAAATGGCCAACTCGTTTATCAGCAATTCCCAAGACCAAGGGAGAACAATTTATCTAAGCGTTCAAATTGGTAAGAACATGGATTTCCTCCTAATTCCATCTAGAATACCCCAGTATCTGGAAATCATAGCGTTTCTTTAATTGAACTTAAATGAGAAATATTTGCATCTTTGGTATTACTTTATAAGTTTGAATAGTTTATGTATGTCTATAAGTACACATTGCTTGCATCCCAAAGTGTTCTAGAAGATTTTCTTTAGTCACTTCCTAACAGCTTATATTTGTTTCCTTTTTCTTTTCATCCAGCTTTAATCCTAATCCTTTGCAAAGACACAGTTTCTGGACAATTATCATTGGAGGGACCTTCACGTGGTCCACAATCTACGGTATCAACCAGTCCCAAGTGCAGAGATATATTTCCTGTAAAAGCAGACTTCATGCAAAATTGTAAGTCAAACTATAGTGTATTACCCACTATCAGTTGTTTTTATGGGAACTCTTCCTAAGCCAAGTTTAATCCAACTTAAGTCATTTGTATCATAAAATTCCAAGAGAAATTCCAAATGATATCCTTGGTTACAAAAGGTCCAAGCCGGCTGGAGCTGCAGTTCAGTAGAAGAGCACTTGTCTGTCATGCATAGGGTCTTGCATTCTATCCTCAGCAACATACACATACACACACATGCACATATGCAGGCATATACACACATGTGCATGTGAACATGCAAAAAACAAGGGGAACAAAGTGGTACTATATGTTTGCAATCAAATATTTGAAAATATTTAAGTAAGTATTAAGTAAAACAACCTTACCAAGTAAATAAGCATTTAAATAATATATGGAAATTAAAAATCATAAGCAAGAGCTCAGTTGTAGAATGCCTGCTAGCTTGCTTGAGACCAACAAGACAAAACTCTCTATATAGCTTTTGATGTGCGGAAACAACATCAAATTGGAAAAGGATACACAACCAGTGAGTAGTAAAATAATCCTGTGAAGCAAAATCAGTTCCATGAAACAATAGTACAACAGAGAAAGTGTTCCAGAGTATGTATGTACACGCATTGTACTTTCAGCATCAGACTGGTGTTTATAACCCTGTTCTAATTCTTGTTACTTGAGTGATTCTGTACAGATCCTAGTCTCACAGAGCCTCAGTTCTAAATTCATAAAATGAGTACAAGAACCACTATACATCATATGGGGAGTTTTGTAGAATGCTGTGTTGGACCCACACATTCTAGGAGTCTAGTAAATTTTTTTTTTAAGTTCAAGTAATGGGATGTGAATGCAGACAGTGGGTAAGAGAAAACATGGTTTGAGAAGAACCCTGTCTGGGGAACAGAGGATTGCTTTTCATACTTAGTGGGTGGTTTTATAAGCTATGCTATAAGAACTTTGGTGAATTGGTATGTAGTTACTGACCATGTCGAGCCATTTATAACTAATTTTTTTAAGGAAAAAAGCATAATAGTTTTTGGTTTGTTGCATATTAAAACACTTATTTCATGACATAGTATAATTAGATGCCAGTATAAAGCTATGGATATTGGTGAAGTCTAACCAGGAGGACACACTCATTCAATGGCAAAATATCATCTGTAGAAAATACTTCTAGATGTATTGTTGATTGACCAGAAGAGGAGGATTAGATAGAACAAATCATCATTCTTGATAACCAAATTAAATGCATTTATTAGGAATAATCATGAGCTTATCTTCTGTTCATGTAACAGTTTTCTTAGTCTCTGGGATAGAAAATACAACTGTCACTTTCTGGCTTGCTTCACCCATTTCAGGTCTCTCTACATCAACCTTGTGGGCCTCTGGGTGATCCTTATCTGCTCTGTGTTCTGTGGGCTTGCCTTGTATTCCAGATACCATGACTGTGATCCTTGGACTGCTAAGAGAGTGTCACAAGCTGACCAGGTATCACATCTTTCTCACGTGTGTATTGATAATATTTAAAAAGTGTATTTAGTTGTATCAAAAAGTTCTTATCCCCATTGAGACACAGTAAATGGGCACAATATAGTTAGTCATCTTTTTTTTTTAAATTCTTATTTTTTAATCATTATTTTTTAATTTTTAATAACTACATGATTAGCAGAAGCATTTCACTACAGCTTTAACATATTCAGTAACACACTCCAGAGCAAGAGTACATCTCTTTCACAAGTGGGTGCAAATTTCTAGATTCACAGTTGAGTTAATACAGTTATACAATATTGAACTCACTATAAGACCTGTAAGTCATAAAATTGAATGAGTTTTTTAACCTTTAAAAAGATCTCCCTTTCATTTTAGAATATATTGTTCCTTGCAGAAAGACTCATTGTTTTTGCTACTAACACTGAGATGTTGGCGCATGCATCTCTAATCTGTATGCATCTGATTATTACTAGTCATAATTGGTTGCACTTGGATCCCTGGCGCCTGTGTATGTGTATGAAGTCATCGGGTAGATTTCAATGGTAATGTTTATTGCCTCTACTAATTAGCATGATGTAAATTTCTATGCTTCCTCCTCAAATATAATACAGTTTTTAAAATTTGTTGATTTTTTTTTGTGTGTGTATATCACACAGAACATCCCAAACCATCTTATTTGGCTATACACCCACTTCCCAGATGACACCCTCCATAGCCCCCCCACCCCCCAATAGAACCCCTATACTCTGATATCTCTGGTACTGTCTACTGTGTTGTTGGCACCCCCAGCCATTCCCCACTACTTGTCCATCCGGTGAATCTAGTCATCCTATCTACAGGTCTTTGTTTTAGGAGGGTCAGCTGTTCCTCATCTAGCAGCAATCAGTTGTCAATACTCCTTTAGATAAGATTAGGGTCTGCTGTTCATTTTCCCAGTTCTGTGTTGGGATACTATATGGGAGTCCCTTTGGTCGCCCTGGCCAACAACTCAAAAGAAGGTATCTCCTATCTGGCATTGTTGCTTGTTATATAGCCTTTAGCTATGCATATGGACTCTTAAGAAATTATATTGACCCCTTTAATCTTTGGTTATACTTTCCTTTTGGATGTTTAAGGCCATGCAGTTGGCCCAGATAAACCAGTTTATTTTTACTCTTAAGGTTGTTTGAGGATCTGTTCCTCAGGGGTCACATGGGCTTGGGAGGAGCCCCTGGCTCCTTTCTTTTACCAGTTCTGCCTATGTGAAGATAAGCCAAAGGTCCTGCTTGACCATGGTTGGCTTCGCTTGGAAGCATGGAGGAAGTGATTCCTCTGTGTTGACCCTCTTCTTTGTAGACTGGACACTGGTTCAAGACCATCTGGTGGGGTCTCCTCGGCCTCCTTGATCAAGAGGACAGGTGACCCACCACAATTACAGGACATTTACTTCCATAAAGCACTTGGTAAAAGATTTTTAGTAGCTACAGCAAGAAGGAAGGTTTCTGTATCTAAAACTAAATTATTGAAATATCTGGAAAAAATTCAAGCCACATGTTAGATAGAAAACATTCAGCACTGGAAGTCAAAATCTAAACATAGTTAATAAAGAGTATACAGCTTTCACAGAACTGTAGATGTTTATGGATATTGTTAAACCATTCGTTTATGAACAATTTGTCTTCCAGATCTAACAGGTCAGCATAGTTTGTGTCCCAGCTATGTTCTGTCAGCATATTTCATACTACAAGCAACTAAAAACTCCATTGATTGATTCAGGAAGCATAGATGAGTATAAAATATTTTCTTGAAGTAGTTTATTTTTTCATAGATCATATATAGTATAGACTTCAAGCTTTACATAGATTATGTAAATGAATTTTCATGGTAACCATGACACTAGTATTATTACCCCTACTTTACAGGTGAGGGAAATGAGGCTCAGAGGAATGAAAACATCAAAGCCACATTTGCCTCAATCCAAAAAACTGCCCACTTGACCTTTGTGCTAATTGTTACTTTTAAGTGTTGGCAAACAGAGACTTTAATTTTTAAAATTTGGACATACATAGAGTATCTTCCTTCATTTTTTTAGAAGAATATAACATTTGTTAGGTCTTAATTTTGTTAACTACTATTTAAAACCAACTGAAACTTGGATGTAAATTTTGTAATTTTTCAGCTTATGCCTTATTTGGTACTTGACATTTTGCAAGATTATCCAGGAGTCCCTGGACTTTTTGTGGCCTGTGCTTACAGTGGGACATTAAGGTATGGAACATGTCATTTCCTATAAAACTCGGTGCTAGTTTTACTGTTATTGTGACCAGTGCATGAGAAATAACTTAGGAAGGAATTACTGAATTTGGATCATGGTTTCAGAGGGTCATGGTCACCATGGTCACCTGGCCCTGATCATTTAGGTGCAGCATCATGCTGATGGGAACAGGTGATGGAAGAACTTCTTCATGGAAGAAGCTAGGGCAAGATATAGCCCCTAATGATATTCTCTCAGTGATCTATTCATTCAAGCAGGCTCTACTTCCTACATTTTTACCATGCTTCAAGAATGTTATTATAGTAGAGCCCATGAAGGGATTAATCCATTCGTTGTGTCAGAGCCCTCAGGACCCAGACAAACCCAGAATTTGTTTGGCTAATCCTATAGGTATTTCCTGATCCAATCAAGTTGATAATTAAAATTAATCTCCCTAGGATTTTCTTCCCTTCCTTCCTTCCTTCCTTCCTTCCTTCCTTCCTTCCTTCCTTCCTTCCTTCCTTCCTTCCTTCCTCCCTTTCTTCCTTCCAGTTACTTTGAGAGACAAAGATGATTCTGGCACAAATGGCCTAAAGCAGGCAAGTATTCCATGCATCCTTCTGTTGGTCTCATTCTTAACTCTGTGGCATCATTCTCCTGTCATCAGACTCTACTTTTAGCTAGGTCTCCGGTTTCTGTTTTTCTTTTATGTGTATGAGTGTTTGATCTGCATGTATGTAAGTGCACCTATGTATACAATGCCTACAGAGACCAAAAGGGGGGCATTGAGATCCCCTGAAACTAGAGTTATGGATGGTGGGTGCTGGGAACTGAATCTGGGTCTTATACAAAAGCAGCCAGTGCTCTTAACCCCTAAACCATCTTTTCAGCCTCCCAGGTCTCTGCTTTCTAACACACCGTTGCCAACCATAAATGGTCACAGTAATGATGATCACTTGATAGTAGCTTTTATTGACGATCAAACTTGAGAGACTTCAATCTTGGTTTAAAACATATGTGTGGCTAAAGCATGGTCACCCGTAAAATCAGGCTTAAATTTCCGAATTACTTGTTGAATAATTAAATATTGAATCATTACACGTTGAATACATTTTCTAAAGAATCCTGTGCCTTGTCGATGAACTCCTTCTTTGCACTTTCTTGTGTTTCGAAATTATTATCACATGTGCAGTGTACTCTAGTGAGGATTTAGGAAATTAATACTATTGATATTTATGGCATGTTTTATTGAAGACTTATAGCAGTCCTTTTATGCACAAAAATATATCTTAAAGTTGGTATGTGATAATCCTGAGTAATATGTGCAAATTGTTTTCATAGATACAGAAGGTGAACCCAAACACAGAAGCAACACTAACTTATCCTTTCTTTTTTACTGTCTAGCCTATGAATGTTGCTTGAGTCATTCTTGAATGGTAATAGCTTGCAGAAAGAGGACATTAAGTTCATTAAAAATAATGCAGACATCTGGTTATATTTCATAAGTGTCAGTTTGCTTTCCTCTTCCTCATTCCCACTGAAAGTATCATTAAAGTTAACATATTATAAATAAAAGGTTTTCCCTCTCTTACAGCACAGTGTCCTCCAGCATTAATGCCTTAGCAGCGGTAACTGTAGAGGATCTCATCAAACCATACTTCAAATCACTCTCAGAGAGGGCTCTTTCTTGGATTTCCCAAGGATTGAGTAAGTTTCCTTTCTCACAATTTCATTTTAGCTCAGGGAGAAGCTTTAGTTTTGTTTTGAAGACACTATAAACTCTTTTCTTCTGAAAAATCATAAGTGCTTCTTGGAGTGAACATATACTCATGTACACATGCTTAGGACAGTGCAAAGCTGATCATATATGCAAACAAGATTTGTAATCCCTCTGGAGGCTGAGTCAGAAGGATCTATGAGTTCACAGGTGTCTGGAGCTAATCTAAATAAAGAAAAAAAATCTAATTTTAAATGAATCAGAAAGGACAATGTCCAAGAATCCTCACTGGTTTTCCTTGATGATAATTACTAAGAATGATAAGACTCATTTTTTCCCCTTTGAGTCAGGGTCTTGCAATGCAGCTCGGTCTGGCTTTGAACTCATGGTCCTCCTGCCTCAGCCTCCTGAGTGCTGAGATTACAGACATGTGATACCATGCCTGGACTGACTTTAACTCATTTTGAAGGGTCTTATTTTTATTACATTGAGGCATGTGTAGTTAAGGACATCATAGACAGCAGCAGGACAGCTGACTTGAGTGACTTTTCAGTAATTTTGAGCACCCAAAACCTTAATGGTGACCAGCGATGACTTATCAAATGGAAAATAATCAAACCAAATAACTTGGAAACACTATTGCAACAAGAACTCTTTGTAAAAAAAAAAAAAAAGGAAAAAGTACAGTAACTTTTTCTTTCAGGTGGGATAAGATCATTTATTAATATGTTTAACAAAAGTGTGAGTGTTCAGAAAAGTCAAGATAGGAATGGGAACTGAAGGAATGCCCTGATTCTATAATGATAAATTTCTCATTTGTTTTTCTTTCTTTTTGATTTTTGAGCATGGGAAATCATACTAATCAATTACCAGTATTTTTTTCTGAATGTATTTTTTTTTAAATAAAATACTTCAGAGGTTTGTATTATTTCGTTTTAAAATGAACACATGCTCCTGAAGGAATTATGGAAAACAGTAAAATTAAAAGAAAAAAATTCTACCATCTGATAACCAGTGGTGCATTGAGAATTTCTGTAAAGCAGTTTGGAGGAAACAACTGGGCGGAAGGAGGAATCTGATACGGATTACAGGGGCCTTTCTCCGCTAGTTTAACAGGAAAGGCCTGCGAATGCTGGTGGGGATTATGAGAGGGAGGACTAAAGAGCACAAACCACCCCTTGGTGTGGATTACCACTTCCCAGAACAAAGAAAGCAGAAAGTCAGAAGGGTCCTGTCTGGTGTTTACTATCCCTTCTTCCTTATTGTCCTGAGCATGCCGAGCAGAGACCGGAGCCTCCCTTCATAGACAAATGTTTGTGGAGGATTAAATGAGAACACAGTGGTGCTGAACTTTACAATCCCTGTAGTTAATTCCAGGGATTCTTTTCTTATAAAAAGTACTGTTGTGACTAATCCTGGGCGCAGTATAAGGGCTATGTTTGTCTTCTTTGGGCCCTGTTGATCTCGTAGGAAAATACCTCTTTCCTCACCTTGCTGGCTTTGATGTGTGTGGTCATTTTCACCTCAGTAGTGTTACTTGACTCAAAGGCTTGGTGGCTCATTTTATTGAGAACTGTAATCCTCTGGGTCTGTTTTACGCTGCTTCTTATGGTGTCCCTGTAGGTGTGCTGTATGGAGCCCTGTGCATTGGAATGGCTGCTGTGGCATCGCTCATGGGAGCTTTGTTACAGGTAAGAGCTGAGCCTGCAGGTTGAACCCATGATCATGAAATCATTCTTTTTAATGTTCATGTATCCATCTTCAAGCTTTCTCTTTGTGTCTGTGTACACTCATATATATTAAGGGACAGAGGTGACTGAACTAATTCTAACTTTTTAAAAAATACAATTTTAAGATAAATGTAGATTTCCATGAAATTATGAGAACAAGGCAGATTGCATATATCCTTTATTCAGTGGCAATATTTTGCAGAAACATCTTGCAATGGCAACATCTTGATAGGACACTGTCACAGCCAGGATATCAGCACTGAAACAGTGAAGATACAGCATGATTCAGTCACCACCAAGATCCCTCTTATTACCTTCAATAGCCTCACCTACCTCTCCCTGTCCTCACTCCCTCCTTGACATCTGGGAGCTTCTAACCTATCCCCATTCCTGTAAAGTGAGTCAGTGATACAGCTCCATGGGCAAAGTCACCCATTGCTAATCTTGACAACTGAGTTTGAGCCCCAGGATCCACACGATGGAAGGAGAGAACTGATTCTTACAAACTGTTCTCTGATACACGCACACATACACACATACAGGGAGAGAGAGAGAGAGAGAGAGAGAGAGAGAGAGAGAGAGAGAGACAGAGAGAGACAGAGACAGAGAGAGACAGAGACAGACTGTGGCACAAACACAAATAAATTAATTGAAATGTAATAATTTTAAAAAGATACATTTATATTTATTTTGTGTGTATGAGTATATTTTCTGTATGTTCTAGTTTGCCTTCAGTTGCAGTGACAAAACACTCTGACTAATACCAACTTGGAGAGGAAAGGTTTTATTTGGCTTACATCCCCCACGTCACAACTCATTACCAAGGGACCTGAAAGTAGGAATGTAGGTCAGGAGCCTGGAGGCAGGAGCTGAAGCACAGGCCATAGAGGAACTTGCTCCCCTGGCCCATGCTCAACCTCGTTTCTTATACAACAGAGAACAACCTGCCCAGGGTGGCACCACTCACAGTGGGCTGGGCCCTCCCACATGACTCAAAAATCAAGAAAATACTGAACAAACATGGCCACAGGTCAGTCCAATGGAGACAATTTTCCACTTGAGTCACCCTCTACCCAGGTGTGTCAAGTTGACAACTAAAGCTATCCAGCACAATATGTATATTTGCATGTATGTGTGCCATGTGCATGCCTGGTACCCACAGAGACCAGAATATGTTATTAGATGTTCTGTAACTGGAGATATAGACAGCTGTGAGCCACCATATGGGTGCTGGGAGTTGAACCTCTGTCCTTTGTAAAAGCATCATGTAGTCTTAATCTCTGAGCCATCTCTCCAACCCCAATAATACTTTTTTTTAAGGACCGTTATAAAAAGGGCTTGGGAGATTACTCAGTAGGGAAAGTATTTGCTGTAGAGACATGAGGACTTGACATTGGATCCCTAGCACCCACATAAAAAATCCAGGTGTACCTGTAAACTCAGCACTGGTGAGGTCAGTCCCTGGGGCTTGCTGGCTACTGCATAAGCTCCGGGTTTATTGAGAAACGCTGTCTCAAGAAATGAGGTGGAGAATGATTGAGAAAGACATGCAATGTCAATGTCTGGCCTCCATACAGATTCACATACATGTGCATGTGTACCTGCACACATGAGTACACATGTGAACATGAACATATACTCACACACACAAAAGAAGGCCATTCAAATGAAATTATGCATTAGGAAACTTTTTGATGTCTTGTTTCTTATCATTAAGAGTGAAGTTTGATTTAAATCTGACCTTTTCATATTATGTGATGAAACTTTGGATCCTACACTTTCTATTTAGGTAGCTTTGTCTGATAGCACTTAAAAGGGTAAAGGAAAATCCTGTATTTTGATACCACTTTGAGTTTGAAGTCCAGTCAAGCTGAAGGAGGAGCCCTTTGTCATGTTAGGTATAGATATGTAGTAAGCTATGAGGCAGATGATGACAACAAGACTAATCACAGCTGCAGACTCATTTAAATGTCTTTCGGAGTTGATACTATGTATCAATTAATATGTATGTACTAATACGGTGATGCAACCTGACCCTGGGAATTTCTGAGCCTAAATCTTGTCTAAATCTTCCAACAAAGCTTGCTCCTGCAAGAATAGGGGCAACTCCCTTTGTGGGGGAAACAACTGATGACTGACACGGTCTGAACACAGATATCAAGAAGGGGGACAATTGACTTAAATTCTGGATGGAGAGTCTACTAGTCCGTTCATTAGCCATCTGCTCCTAACTGTGTATACTTCGTCCTCTAAATTTTTTCTTTTGAAAAGAATGAACTTTTATTGCGTTTGTTCTTTGACAGTTTCATAAATATATAACGTGCATTCTGATTATTATAACCCCCATAATCTCCCCCACTCTTCTGTCAGTGTTCCCCCCTCCACAGTCCTCTTCCTACATTCATGGCATTTTTGTTGTTGTTTGATTTTTGAGACCGAGTTTAACCAGGCTCATCGGTGTGACATGGGTTTAGAACTGTCTGCTAGAGTTTGTTGGGCTCCTCGGTGGGTACACAATTGAAGATAATGACCGCCCTTCCTCCAGAAACTATCAGCAGCCAATAGTTTGTCAGGGAGGTGTAGGTCCCCATAAGCTCCTCCCAAACCCATGATTGTTGATAGGCCCACCGACACTCATTTCTATGGGAGAATTGGGAAAGAGTGGCTCTGGCCAAGAAGTTGGTGAAGTATGACCTCCACAGTGGGTCTTGTAAAGTCTATTTCTGCCTCGTTCGTGTGCTTTGAGCCATTCTTGTGGAAACTTTCATTAGGACAAACATACTAAAATCAATAGATCAATCTAATGATCAATCTGGCCACAATAAAGGGGGCGGGGAGACTTCAGAAAAGTGGATGGTAGAGATGCCATGGGAATTGCTGTGTAGCTGAAATTCTTACACCAGTATCCACTCTCCAGGCCTCTACAATCCCACAGCCTATGAGGTAATACCCAGCCAGTCATGTACTATAAGGGCAGAATATCTCTACTGGAAATTATGCTGCAGGGTGCTCCCAAGTTGGCTCATTTCCTACAAGCCTCATTCATATTCTTAAAGTGACATGTCCTATCCATTCACTGACCTAGACAGCTAAACACCAACTTTTCCACTGATGGGAAGATGCTTTCACTGATAACATTCCTGTCTTATACCCAGGATAGCTATACAGAGTCACTCACCAGCTTTGACTATTCTGGAAATACTTTTGTTGGTATATTTTCCAATGGTCTCTTGAGCCACCTCCACCTCTGACTACACTCTGTACTGTATGGTGAGATCTTGCAAAAAACCCCTCCTAACTCCAATCCAAATGCCCAACTCCTTTCTTCATCATTAAACAAGGTCTTCTCTAACAGATCTTCTTTTGAGCATCTTCCCTTTGTTTCTAAGCCTGGTTCACAAAACATAGTTACTGGCTTCATTGCCATGTCATATCTTTCACACTTCTCAGTGGAGCCTATCTCACATCCTGCTGGACTCCACTGAGAACAGACTCCAGATAGCATCCTTGAGCTCATATACTCCTCTAGTTCTTTTGTGGTATCCACACTTTCTCTACTTTATGAGGTAAACTTTTGAGAGCAATTCATTTAAATCAAGGACTTTAGTCCATATCTTCTAACATTTCCTTGATTTCTTCTCTGAACTAATCATTCTGTTTTGTTAAGCTTCTTTCCTTGGTGGACAAGTCAATGTGTCCTTGCTCTACCATGGTCTTATCTATTTTTTTGAGGTTGGGAGTGTTAGAATTACCTTTATTCAAACCCATGTTCTTTTACTTATTGGCTATTTTAAGTTTAAGCAAGTTATTATCCTTTAATCAGTTCTCTAAACATTTTAATTGGCATGTAAACTGTACATATTTATGGACTATAATGTGATGTTTCAAAACATTTATGTATTTTATGATATTCAAATGAGCCTAAATATATCTATATCCATAAATATTTATCATTTTTAGTGGTTAAAATGTTCAAAATGCTTTCTTGTAGATATTTTGAAACATGTAGTTCATAATAGCTATGTGCTGTCATGCTATTATACATTAGCACACCAGAACTTACTTCTCCTATAAACTAGAATTTAGTAATCATTGACCAACCTTTATGCATCTCTCTTGCTTAGTCGTAAAAACCAGGCATTAGATTATTAAGCACATACATTTCTTGGAAGTTCCCATGACTTGCATCTCCTCATGGTTCATGTTGCAATTTTTCAGCCTCATGGCTTTAGAATCTACATATCAAAGTAAAAGTTTCAATCATCCAACTAGATTTTAAGTCTTCTTCTATACCATTGGATCAATTATTTTAAATCCCATTTTTCAACTTAGTTCCATGCTTATCATGCTAGATTAGTAATGCTCATGGACTTTGTCACATCTCTAGCCATTTTGTAGCTCTTATTAACAGTTGTTTGCAGGTGTGTTTTGAGACCACGAAAACACAACATAAGGAGTGCTGTGATGTAGAGAACAAGGCTGTAAAACATGGTCTTAATTTATGCACTCATAAGGGTGCTGTAATGGTTTCACGCTCTCTAACTTTTGGCATTTTGTTGCCTTTTTTGGTGTGTATGTATACATGTTTCTCTCTCTCTCTCTCTTGCTCTCACTCTCACGCTCTCTCTGTGCATGTGTGTGTGTAGACCAGAAGTCAACATTGGGTATCTTCCTCAATTGGTCATCACCTTATGTTTTGAGGCAGGGTCTCTCACTGAACCTGGAGTTTACTAATTCAGTCAGACTAGCTGACTATCAAGCTGCAGGAATACTCCTGCTTCTGCCTTTCAGCACTAGGTACAGGAATATGCTGCTACACTTAGCTTTTATGTTGTGCTGGGAACTGAACTCAAGTCCTCATGCTTGTGGGGCAAGCACTTTACAGACTGACCCATTCCTCCAGCCCCTTTTGCTGTTTTTTTTTTTTTTTGTCTTTTTGAGACAGGGTCTCCCTGTAGCCCCAGCTGTCCTGGAACTCACTATGTAGACCAGGCTGGCCTGGAACTCACAGAGATCCACCTGCCTTTGCCTCCCAAGTGCTGGGATTAAAGGTGTGTGCCACCACGCCCAGCTTTTTTGCTGTCTTTTAAAAAAATTATTTTTTAGTTTTTAAAAATGTGTGTGCATGCATGCGCATGTGTCTTTGTGTGGGTATGTGCATGTAAGTACGGGTACCCACAAAGGCCAGAAGAGGACATCAAATTCCTTGGAGCTAGAGTTATAGGTGGTTGTGAGCTGCTTGACTTGGGTGTTAGAAACTGATCTCAGGTCCTCTGCAAGAACAATATGCACACTTAACCACTGAGCCATCTCTCCAGCCCTTTGTTGCCTTCTTTGAGGGTACCTGAAGGAATAGACAATCAGGACTGAAAAGCAGACATTTCCAAGTGCTAACGATCTCTTTGCCAATAACAAGACTGCCATAAATAAGATTATTAGTTTTCGGAGGAGACCAAATACTTTAATACTCACCTGATGCAATTACTTGAAACATCTTGTTTGGATTTGTGATTGCTGACTCTTGACTTTATATTATTTTTGTAGGCAGCACTCAGCATATTTGGCATGGTTGGTGGACCACTACTGGGCTTGTTTTCTTTGGGCATTTTGGTTTCCTTTGCCAACTCAGCAGTAAGTATAATTAATGGATCTGTATAAAGGTTGCTTTCTGAACTACAAGAGCAGCTCTGTATTTTTCTTTTCAGCTGTAAAGACATGGTTGCTTTGATTAATCTGTCATTAGTTACTTATCTTGGTGAATTAAATCATCATTTTGACTTTCGTATGCAGTGAAGAACTATGCACTGGGACCTTGCATGTGGGGAGCTAAGTGGAAGTTGTCAGAAACATATAGTACAATTTTAAATATTCATACTATAAATAGAAAAACATTTCTTGTGCACTTGAATTCTTGCTCTTCTTAAAAATTAGCATCTAGGCTTCAAAGAAAGGTGTCAACAGGCTTAGATAGATGAAAGAACATTCAAGCTGTGAATAGAACATAACAAACAAATATAAGATCTTCACTACCGTGACCACAAAGTTTGTACTTCTGAAATTTGAAACTCCAGCTCTCCCCATGGTTGTAGCATTGAGGAGGTGTTTATAACTGGGACTATTACTCAGAAAGAGGTGATACCTCCATTATCACACATAAACATGTCCGTGAGAAATACTAAATTGTGTTTGTCATAAATGAAATACAAGTGATTTTTCTGAAAGCCAAGAGGAAGGCCATATCCACTAGAGGATGAAGTTCAGGAAGGCCTAGAATATATGTAAGTGATGCTAGACATTTATAGCATGACCAGAGATGTATGACTTAACATGCAGAATTCTGTTTTCCTCATCAGGTACTAGGAATTTAAGGCATGTATCAGTAAGGACTACCATTGTTAATTATTAGAAATAACTCTCAATGAGGACCATGAGACGGTAGTATGGCAGAAATTAATCACAATGACAGTGGATTGTACCCCACTCTTCCTTACCCTGCCTTTCTCTTTCCCACCTTCTTTTTCTCTTATTTGTTTGTTCAATAAATAGTTATGAGATGAGTAGTGTCTTGGGGTAGGGACCTGAATATTTCCGTCTTCATGAATTTAATAATTTATGGATCCTTGGTCAAGCCATGTACCATGCTGGAAGTGAGCTAAATCTGGCTTAACAGCTGGCTACCCTGCTATTCAGACCTTTTCTTTAAAAGAGTATGTACTGTGTTGGCCAGCACTGCAGTAGATGCAAAGGCACCAGAAAGAGAAAAGCTCAATTCAGCTTTCAAGGACTTCACAGCTGATGGAGTAACTCCTAGTCCTCATTCCAGCATAAATCCCCTGATTTAGCCAATAACATTCTCTCTCTGACATCAAGCCACCATTCTTTAAAAATAATATTTTATTGACTCTGAAAATTTCATACAACACATTTTGATCAGATTCAGACTCCCTTCCCTATCTCACCACCATATTTGACTCCATGTCCTCTATTAAATTTTTTACAATATATATTTTTTATTGAATTTTTGTGCATTTCATACATCTTAAGCATACATATTCCTTGCCCTGTGATTTCAATTACATTTTTTATTTCTGTCTCAAAGACTCCTCCCTTTGCTCTCTATGTAGTGCCTGAGGCTCAGACTGCCCTTGACTGAGCATCATTTCTGACTTCTGCTACAGAGGGAGGATATTCCTGGCTCAGAGTTTGCTTTGGCCTCCATCGTTTAGAACTCAGATTTAAATAATTCAAAAGGAGCTGACAGAATATGTGGGATTCTCGCAAAAGAAAACCGGGTTGGGGGTGGGGGTGGAAACCACGGGAAATGAAATATCTTTAGAGGAGACAGCTGGCTAAGTTCTCCCCATTCCTTTTTCTCCAGAGAGATGTGGTTTCATGCATCCACTATTGCAGTCATTTGGGAAAAGGTCAATCATTCTACAGCTCACTCGCCATCTCATATATTGTTATGTATAGGGATGTGCTCCACGTACGGTGTGCCATTTTCTCATTGATTAAATAAAATAGAGAAAACAGTTGGCCTTCAGTGAACTATGTGAATCTTGTAGTTTTGTGGTGTGAAGACATGCGGAGAGTGCTGACCAAGGAAACAGAAAGGGAAAAAATGGAATCATGAGGCAATTGAGAAGAAATGTGGGTAGGAATTAGTGATTGGTTAGATGGGGACATGAAAGAGGGAGTGGAGTCAGAGTCCTCCAGGGCTCTGGGTTGAGGAACCAGGGACATATTATGCCCTATAATATAAGGCAGAAGAGTTGGACAGGGAGCTTCTAATTTGGCTTTGATCGTGTTGAACTTAACTTTCTCATGTTAAATCTCTCTCAGAATGAATAACATTATTTTTCTTTTAAAAGCACTCTTGTTTTTCAGGGAGCACTTGCTGGTCTGTTGGTGGGCTTTGTCATTTCTTTATGGGTAGGAATTGGAGCTCAACTTTATCCTCCCCTTCCTGAGAGAACTATGCCATTGGCCCTTGAAACCTATGGATGTAACAACACATATAATGGGACAAATTTGATGACAACCACAGAAATGCCATTTTCTACTAGTGCTTTTCAAACACACAACGTTGAAAGGTATTGTTTCATAATACATCTTTAAACGTATGTGACAAGTAGAGATATCTAGTTGTTTTATGTCTTTCTTATAAGTTTTTTCCTAATTCTGAAATGGGTAGAAACCCATCTTTCTAGATATAAATTTTTAAGCAATAACACAATATACATACATATATGTAGTTTTTAATTTTATAGAAATACTTGACTTATCTACAGATCTAAGGAAGACTTGAATATTAATGCAAAATTATATTATGGATAAATTTTCCTACACATCAGTTTTAGCACATGAAGAATGATCATTTTAATACAACACAAAGTTCAATTATAAAAGAAATATAGTTGATATGGTCTTTGAAATAGATCCTCTACTATTGAAAGCTACAGCTAGCTAATTATGCTTTTCATTCTATTTTAAAGATTTGAAATGTTAGAGCTCTAGCAATGAATTTCAGTCAAGGCCTTTACTTTCATGTTTAATTTTTCATATACGCCATATACATACATATATATATATATGTGCACACACACATAAAGTTGTCTGATTTAATGAAATGATACATACCAGTATGCAGAGATTTTTTGTACAGTGGCTGTTAAGGACAAGATTTTTTTTTAAATGTATATAAACTGTCTGGATGTACAGCCTCAAAATGCATGGATATGTTTAAGGAATGCCAGTTAATGCTGCTGTCCTCAAAGGGATGCCTGGGTGCCATGTTGCATAAAATAACATCCTTAGAGAATCACTACTTTTGGGTCTCCTTTTTAAAAGTGCATATTCCTGGGTGAAGAAGCATTGCCATTCAGGTAGTCATTGTTAGCATAATCCTCCATGTCCTGGAGGGAATTCAGTTATGAGCCTGCTTGCTGGTGGGGCTTCAAGGGGAGCTGCAGGCAGTTAAGCTTTACATGGGTAGGGAGAAAGTTTCACCCAGGGTCCAAGGGTGTATTTTAGATGTAGGTGAGGTGCTGTGAGGAGATAAGCAAGGAAATCTGGGAAGCAGTCTGCACAAGCATGAAAGCTCCACTGGGAGGGGGCTGGGAAAGACAGTAGAGAACAAAGCAGAAAATGGTAACTGAAGGTTTGAAGAGGGCGTTCAGAGTACCCTTCTTCTTTCATAATTTCGCTTAGCATTTGTCCCAGTTTATATAAATATCTGCCATAATTTTAGAGTCTAAGACAAAACTGAGTATTTGGGTTCCTGAATCAAATATATCAGCCAAAGTTTACTATGTGCTTGGTGCCGTAAAAGTCACTTTTTTCTTGTTTGTTTGTTTGTTTTGTTTTGTTTTGTTTTTTTTTTTTTTGAGGCCGATCTCACAATGTAGCCCTGGCCTCCAACCCACTATGTAGACCAAGCTGGCCTTGAACCCACAGAGATCTGTCTGCTTCTGCCTCTGGAGTGCTGGGATTAAAGGTGTGTGTCACCACACCTGACCAGTTCACTTTTTTTTTTTTTGAGACAGGGTCTTCCTGTAGCTCCAGTTGTCCTGGAACTCACTATGTAGACCAGGCTGGCCTTGAACTTAACAGAGATCCACCTGTCTCTGCCTCTTGAGTGCTGGGATTAAAGGCGTGCACCACCATGCCTGGATATAATTAATTTTTTTTTTTTTTTGAGGCCGATCTCACAATGTAGCCCTGGCCTCCAACCCACTATGTAGACCAAGCTGGCCTTGAACCCACAGAGATCTGTCTGCTTCTGCCTCTGGAGTGCTGGGATTAAAGGTGTGTGTCACCACACCTGACCAGTTCACTTTTTTTTTTTTTGAGACAGGGTCTTCCTGTAGCTCCAGTTGTCCTGGAACTCACTATGTAGATCAGGCTGGCCTCAAACTCAGAGAGGTCCACTTGCCTCTGCCTCCTGAGTGCTAGGACTAAAGGTGTGTGCCACCATGCTTGGCTTCAGTTTGCATTTTTTAATATTCACAGTATTAGATGAGTATGTATTAGGAATTTTAATTTTAATTTTCTTTTGATTAAAGAAGTTGAATACATCTTAATATGTTTACTAGACATAGTAAACACATCTTTTTTGACTTGTCTATGGAGGACTGCTCCAGTTTTCAACAGATTCTTGGTCTTTTTCTTTCTTATTTACTTAAGAGTCATATATTCTTTCTTTTTATTTTTTTGGTCTTTTTGAGACAAGGCCTCCATGTAGCCCCAGCTGAACTCACTGTGTAGACCAGGCTGGCCTTGAACTCATAGAGTTCCACCTGCCTCTGCCTCCTGAGTGTTGGGATTAAAGGCGTGTGCTGCCACGCTTGGCTATGAGTTATATATTCTTAATTCAAGATATGTTTTGAAAATTTTTTTTCAATCACTGGGTTTCACTTTTACTCTTTTGTTACTTTTTTTGTGAGAAATCATGAGTTCTCAGATAAAGTACCCCTCAATATATCAAAATCAGTAGAAAATTAGCTTGTTTAGAACAATATCAAAATTCACTTGGGAAATAACTAACATTGGTTCCTTTAGCTTTGATCTTGAATTTTTCTCCTACTGTCACAGATGTGAATGTATTGACTTATTTTAAAATTAATGCAAAATTTCCCAATTTTTATATGTTGGCAACTAATTCAAATGGAAAAAAATCAACTGAGCAGATGAAACAGATGTGCTGGTTACAGCTGTATTTCCTTAATGTTACGTTTTGGCCTTTAGAATTTTCAAATTAAAATTAAACAAAATTTATCAGTCTTTATATCTACCAGTCCTTTGGTGTCTTGTTGAAGAAATCATTGCCATAAAAGGTCATAAAGATATTCCTCTAATTTTTAAAGGAAAATCTTTAAGATTCACTATTTATGTTTAAGAAATTCAATCCACTTGGGCTGAATTGAGTGGTGTGGTTGAGATTAATCTTTTCTCTACATGGAATTTCAATAAGCCAAGTATCACTTACTGAGAAGACTACCTTGCTGTCCCATTAAGGTTTACTGTTACCTAAACTCACGTAAATCAAATAACAGTTTCCTGAGAATCTGGTTCTAACAGTCCTATTTTCTATTCTTTCTAGTCTAGTCTAGTCTATTCTATATTCATTTTTTTCCCTATCTTTGGCTCAGTATTACACTGCCTCAACTTCCTTAGCTCATCTCTCTGTGTTTTCTTTCTTTCTGAGTTTTGGGTGCCTCCAATTCTCATTTCCTTGATCTTTCTGGTGTCTTAAAACCTTGTCTGTACATACGGATCTTAGCAAGGTGACTGTTTTCAATCAAGCTGCCCCATCGAAGCTGAAAGTGGAATCCTTGAGCAACTGTTTCAGAAATAAACTGTATCATGCTACTCCACTTAATTCTGCAAAAACTGCCACTGCCCATGTAGTAAAATCCAAATTCATACCAAGTTCCAAATGCCTACCTCTCATCTATGCCATGCTGTGTCTTCACTGCATTTACCTCGGCTGGTGCTCACGTCTTCTCTCGGGATGCTTTCCTTGTGAACTTTGTTATTAAGATCTCAGTCTAGCTCCCTCATTCAGTGTAGCTCCCTCCACCCGACCCCTCTTTCATGTTGCCTTGATCCATTTTTCTTACAGGACTTTCCATCATTTGTGTTCAGATTATTGTATTTCCCTTTCCATTGGATACAAATTTTACGGCTGACTTCAATAATTAGAACAGTACAGGGCAAAAGCAGAGTTGAATGAATAAACACAGATACTGAATATTTTATTATGGACATTAGGTTTCTGTTACAAAATACCAAACTGTAGCAGTATGTCAACCTAAAAGGCAAGTAAGGCTCATTGGGTGCGAGAACAGTCTATTTGAGTCAAAATGAGAATTGCACCTAAGAGAGAGAATATACATCTAGCTGCCTAGAATAAGTCCTCCCAAAATGGCACTTGAGGGGGTCTAGGCTTTTACACATTACAAAAAGAACAACAAAGAGGCTACAGAAACAGCTGTTACAATTGCATTGCTCATTGATTGACAGAGACAGGTACATCATAAGATGTTGATTTTTCATTGGATACTTACATATTAAGGTAAGAATTGTAAAGAACGAGAAAAGGATTTTATCGGGGCTGTGCGTCATGTTTATGTTGTCAGGGAGTCTACAGACACCTGCTTGTGCCAGGCCAGAGTGACCTAAGTGACCATGCTCCCTTTTCTTATGTTTCTCCCTTACCATAGAGAGATGGTGCCCTATTCTTGTAATATTTGAAGTCTTTTCTCAAGTATATGGTCAAAGGGAAGACATATTTTTAATTCCTGATTTGCTAAGTAGAAATCAGAATGGTTGATCATGACATTAAACCTTGCTAAATGTTGCGTTATTCTTTCAGGATCCTCGACACACACCTGTAGTTGCTAGCACATGACATGAGATCTTGCAATTATGGATTTTGTTATCTTTTAGGACTCCACTGATGGATAATTGGTACTCATTGTCCTATCTGTACTTCAGTACTATTGGAACCTTGACAACATTGCTTGTGGGGATCCTTATCAGTTTAGCAACAGGTAATTAAACATCCCTGTATTCATCTCTAGAAATACAAGCTTTTGCTATGTATGTTTCATAGCTATTTATGCTATTTTTACTATGATCTTATCAATCATTTACATCTTATTTCTTCAGTTGTGCTCATGGAATGTTTGAGAGACTGTACTTAAAGCAGAAGACCCATCACTATGTGAATCTTTGTTCTGCCATTTAGTGACTACCTGAACTTAGGCTATTCACATAGTTTAGCATTAAGAGCCTTAGCATTCTTTTAAAAAATAGTATATTTATTATTTCTATTTTATATGTATTAGTGTATTGCCTGCATGTAGGTAGGTACACCTGTGTCCTGCAATGCCCAAGGAGTTAGAAGAGAGTGTCAGATCCCCTGGAACTGGAGTTATGGATGGTTGTTAGCCATCTTGTGGGTACTGGGAATCAAACCTGGGTCCTCTTCAAGAGCAACCAGTGCTCTTAACCGCTGAGTCATCTCTCTAGCCTCCGAGCTTTAGCATTCCTATGTATAAAATTCCTATGTATAAAATTCCTATGTATAAAATTCCTGTGTATAAAATGACTGATCTGGCTACCTGATAGGTTTCCATAAGCTAAAACTAAGATGTTTGAAAAAGTATACGTAGATACTTGTTACAAAGGTAGGATTTTATGCATATCTTTACAGTATCCTTATGTCAGGATGTTTCTATTGTCCAATACTGACTCTACGTAAATTTTAAAAAAGTATACACATGTAAGGAATGATAATTACAGTATTTATGTCTAAACATAATTGAAAGCCTTTGAAAATGTCCATAAACTTAAAAAGCAAAAATATTCTTGATAATCAAATTAATAATCCACATAGTATAACTTGCTATTAGGGATTGCATATGGAGATTTTATTAAGGATTTTACTTTGTCCTCATTTCGTGAGTTCTCTTGACCTCCTCCTGAGTTGGGTTTCCCACTGCCTCTGTCCCCCTGGTTTCTAGTCATGTTTACTTCTTTAATTGAGTGGCTACATCTTAGAACACACTCTTGAAGAGGACAGACAAGAGAAGAGGCTTTGGAAAATTTGTATGTCTGAAAAAAGTTATCTTATGTTTGACTGATAATTTAAGTATAACACCAGGAAGGCATGCCTTTAATTCCAGTTCTTAGAGGCAGAGGCAGGTGGAGCTCTGTGAGATTGAGGCCAGCCTGGTCCAGGTGGACTGGGACTAGGGAAACTCTGTCAAAAAATAATAGTTTAGATTCGAGACTAAAAATAGACTAAAAATAACTTAATCTTATTTTTTTCCTTTTATTGTTTTGCTGTTGAATGTCAGTGTCATTCTACCCGAAGACCTTTTCAATGGCACATTTTCAATGACTACCTTGCCTTAGGGTCTTCTCACTCTGAAGAGCCATGCCCCATTCTGGGCATTTCATTCTGTTACCCTTTTGCAATTTTTTGCTATTTTCTGTTTTATCTTTCTAGAAACTTCTGCCAGTCAAATGTTTGCATCTAAGGCAATTCTTTTAATTTTCTTGTCTTTCCTTTTCTACTTTCTGTCTCTATGTCTTTTAGGTCTAATATGTGGATATTTTCCAATTACTTTTAACTCTCAAAGTAGTACTTGATCCAGTTTTGAGACTAGTCCATAGGGGAGGAGGACAGGTAGGAGGCTCTTGCACTAATCCAGGTGAAAGGTTATGGTGGCTGGGATTGGGGTGGCACTGGGGATTAGTGAAAGTGCTAAATTCCAGATCCTCTGTGCTCCCTCTCACATTGAAAGCAGCTAAATCAGGGGAAGGCTATACTAACTTCGTTATCAATGTGTTACAATCAGTCAAAGATCCCATTTGTTCAAGCATGTGGTATCTCTATTTGTTTTACACTACAAAGTCACCAGCAGTCCCTTTTATAGAATCCAGCTACCAGTTGTTGGTTTCTGGCATCTGGATAACAGTGCTTTCTATCTTCTGTGATGTATGTATTGGTAATTATAGTGTTTGTAGCAATCATGTTGGTGTTTCTTTTCCAAAAGAACTGTGCTTTTCTATAAGCTATTGCCACCATAGTTTTATTGCTCAATCTATTTTGGTATATTTTGAGACAGATTTAAATTTTCTCACTGATTACTCAATTCTTTATATCTGAAAACCACTTACCCAATCTCCTTGTGTATTTGACCTTTAGCCCCCATCACTCACTTTCTGCCACTTCTCCCTTTTAAAGAAACTGGGGCACCTGAGTACTTCTGTTGATGTTTCCTTTGTTCCTCCTTAAATACTTTGACTCTGATGACTATATGCATGCATGTCCAGGGGAACAGACATCCAGTAATAGAAATGTTTACTTTTACAAATGAGTCATTCCTACCCACAGCGACAGTGAGAACCCTGAAAAAAGTCTAGAAACCTTACAGTTCTGATGTTCTTTAAAACATACTGTAGGGTACTAGAACTCCTCATGAATTCAGGTGGACATACTTGATTGGCATCTCAGCTTTATTTGACTCTTTGCACTGGGCATTTGTTTCTTTGTCAGTAAAACAGGGACAAGTACTGTCCTAAGTAGGCCATGAGCTGTGAACCCTGTGACTGTTTTATTCATCTCTACCACTCCAGCACCTACCAGAGTCTCAGCACATAGCAGGTGCGCAATAATGTTCAATGAGAACAGCAAGAGTTCCATAATTGAGTCTGGTGTAGGTACTTAAGTGGCAATTCTCAGACTTTAATGGACATACAAATCACCTTGAACATCTGGTAAAATTCAAGAATTCAGTGGGCATGCTGTTTTAATTTGGTCAGTTTATACTAGAGTCCAGGGATCTGTGTTTTAAGCACATCTAGGAGACTTACATAGTTGTGGTTTGAGGGTCACATACTCTGTTTTCAAATGCATCTGCTTTGATTCACAAAAAACCAAAAGATTATGCTTTACAAAACAAAACTGTAGGGAGAAGATTTGGCTAAAACATCAATGAGTGTGCTGAGTTTCACTTAACTGATTCAACAGTCATAATTTCTTCACTCATAAAGATTCATCATCATCAGAGAGGGAAAAAAGTTTCACTGGTCAAGGCAAAAGCAGATGGTTTGCCACTTTGTGGCCAGATAAAGAGGCATGTATTTAAAACACTTCTCCTACCTTTATTGGGGCAGACAACTCTCTAGCTGAGTACCAGACGAAGCAGTTGGGTTTGGTTTGAGAGTTATCATCTCTCTCTACCTATTATCGGTTTATATGTCACAAGATTTATATGCATCTGAGCAAGAGGCTTTTAGGGCCTGTGACTGAGAGAAGGGGAATGATAGCTAAACCTTTAGCACTGTTTTAGAGTTTATCTTGGTATTTTATAATTGTATAGAGTTGAACATATATAAAGTAAATGCCTTATGATGGGAAGTCACTTTGTCGTTATAGGCATCTTTATAACAATGTAAATAATGTATTTGTTTTGCAGGAGGAAGAAAACAGAATTTAGACCCCAGATTCTTACTAACAAAACAGGACTTTTTATCCAATTTTGATATTTTTAAGAAAGTAAGTTTGTCTTTATCTTAAATTAGGGAAGTGGGTATTATCACTTGAATATAGAATACTAGTTAGTCCTCAGTCACTATTCTTGAAAAAGGATGCATGGGGAAACAAGGAAGGAATACATACATACATGCATACATACATACATACATACATACATACATGCATACATATCTTCCTCTTCAGTGATTCATAATTTATTCACACATAAAAATTCATAGGCATAGTGTCTGTGGTACACTATCTGTTGATTTATATTGGCTAGACAGCTATCTCCCTCAACAGATTGCAAAGCTGACTTAGAGAAATGAAAACAGAAGCAACAATTATCTATCACTGAGCAAATAGTTTCTTCTAATCAACATGTTAACATTTTTTTTTCAGAAGAATCATACTTTAAGCTATAAATCGCATCCTATAGAAGATGGTGGAACTGATAATCCTGCCTTCAACCACATTGAACTGAACTTCACAGACCAAAGTAGCAAGATCAATGGGACTCGCTTGTGAAGCAATCCCAGTGCTTGATGATCTATATAGTGTCTTAATTTTTTATGTTTTGGGATAATTGGATCAGAATTTTTTCCCTATCATGAGTGTTTTGGAAGACACATTTTTCTCCTGACTTCTTCACTTTGTACCCTGATTTCTAAACGCTCTTTTGGAGTTGAATTTCAACAACAGCATCTCCCTCTCTTTCAGATTTCAATGGAGCTGTAGCTCTGAATGCTATGATGACATACATGTTGAAAGGCTAGTACACATATATACACATAATACTTCATGATCAAAGGCATATTCTTATATTTGGGCATTATTGAAAATATTTTTTCATGCCTTTGGTGCTAACAGATAAGTTTGGGGATATTTGCTAAAATCATACTAAATACTGAAAGAGATTTCTTTCCTTCTCCTCCATACTATATGCCTAGGCAGCAGTAAAGTGCAGATCAACAGAGTATGCCTGCGTTGTAACTTTAAAGCTGACTCTGGCTCCAGAAGGTGGTAAACAAAAGCATCCTGTCGGAGAGAAAATAGGGACCCAATGATCAAGGTCATCTTGAATATACTCTTGTGCCTTTTTTACTGCTGTCCGAGGTTCCTGACCATTGGCTACTTATCTTAGACTATAGGCTGAAGTTTGTATCTACAGCCCTAGTTTCTGACCCACCACCTTTATTTTGTTGTGCATTTTCCCTGTACCTGTTGTTCCCGTTTTCTGCTTGTTGTCCTGGCTTTGAATATGTCTTGAGACACCCAATGTGTATCATGCCACTTCTGACCCTAATTCACCGGACCCCAGCCTATACATTAAAGATGTGCAGTAGTCTTGTACTGAACAGTGTGTGCTTCATAGGCACTTATGGGTTTGGTGACCCAAGAACATTATTTTTTTTTAAGTGGTTCAGTTCCGTGGAGTCATACAATTACCTTCAGTGCTACTACATTGATTCTCTGAATTTCAATTTATTTGACTTCATAATGGCTGAAGGTGTACATACTTAGAAATATTGAAATCCCAGTATAGTCATACATCGAAAGAGCTAAATTCCATTGTTAGACAGTGACTTCTTCTTCTCCTCCTCCTTTTTTTTTATTTAAAAAAAAAAACTGTTCCAGACTTACTAAATATATGCTTGTTCCATCTCCTAACATTTCAAGCAGCAGTCTCAAAGTTTTGTACTTAGTTGTTACTTGGCTATGCTAAGAGTTTGAGTACAAAATTTCTTTAGTAACTTATTTTTTTTCTACAATATCCACATTACATACTGCTTAAAAGGAGTTTTAAAGTTTTTAATATTTTTTTAAAAGATAAGAGAAATATTGACACATACAAATGTTTTATAATTTATTTACATACCTTTTGGTCTATCTTATTTAGGAAACCATTACTCTGTACATTTAGACATTGTTAACTGACATTAAAAACTAAAATACTAAAAAATAGTAGCATTTATTTGAAAGAGACTTATATTACATTTAAATTTGTATTTCTTATGTATATACATCTATCTTTTGGTCATTGCCTTTGTAAACAAATTTTGTGAATCTTTCTAGGATATTCTAATGTATAAGGACATACACTCTTATATACAGTTTTATGTGAATTGTGTTTTAAAAAATATTTACCTAATGATTTAAAATAAATATTAGTGTAGAATGCTTCAGTTTTGGCAATCAGAATGAGGTTATTTAAAGAGGACTTTTCCTCTTATCTGTTTGCCCAGGCATTAGTTAACGTATTCTTGATGAGACATTATATTCCATTCTAATCCATTTACCTTAAGACAAAGTATATATTTGGAGATATGTGTTTTGCATCTATAAACCTGTAAGAGTGCCAGACAGAATTCTTAAAATAAAACAATATTATTATTAATTTAAAAGAATTTATCTTAATTTAAAATTTTTTTGGGTAAACCTAAAAATGGGTAAGTTGGTAACAAATTGTAATGCAAAGTAAATAACCTGTTCTTAGTTATTTTGAAGCACAAAAATTCTAATGGAAGAAAAAAAACAATACAAGCTGTCTATCAGTGTTTTTTGCTGCTGACAAGTTGTACGTCCGCAGTTTGTCCTTAACTCCCTCTAATGATGGTATAAATGCTGAACTGTCTGCTTCACAGAAACAATGCGAATATAAAAGGTCAGCTTTAGCTCTTTGGCAGAAGACCACTTCATTAATTCAAATAATCTTACTTAATATTTTAGTATGATTGGGAATCAAAATTTGAGACAAAAGTAATTTGTTAGGGCTTTTTTAATGAACTGAGAATAATTTGTACTATCATGATGTAGATATAGGACCTTCTTGAAAAA